ACGTGCACGTCACACACACAACCTCAGGAACGTGCACGTCACACACAACCTCAGGAACGTGCACGTCACACACACACTCTCAGGAACGTACACGTCACACACACAACCTCAGGAACGTGCACGTCACACACACAACCTCAGGAACGTGCACGTCACACACACACACTCTCAGGAACGTGCACGTCACACACACAACCTGGGCCTCATGATGTATTTCTATTTTAAACTTTATTTTTCATTGATCTTTATTTATCCAGGTCGACTCATTGAGTCACAAGAACTCATTTTAAAGAGAGACCTGTTTAGGAGCAGGTGGTGGGGGTTGAGTGCCTTGCTCAGGGGCCCAGGGTGGGGCCAATGAGGGTGGAGGCAGGTGTGGGTGTTTCACCTTTTCCACCTCATTTTGATGTTGACGGTACCGGGAGTTGAACCTGTGACTTTCCCATCACAGGCCCATCTTGTAACCTCTGCTCCACCACTCCCCCACATGACATCATATCATACTGGTCATATTAAATCTCACTGGTTTCCTTCCAGATGTGTTAAACTGGTCCCCTGATGTTTGCAGGTGTGTGTGGTCAGTGGATGAAAAGCCTGGCATGAACAAGATGATGCTGGAGATGATGATTTGACGAGAGCTCCCACCTTCTACCTGTGAAGAACAAGAGCAGCTCAGTGAAGGTGCTGAGAGCTGCAGAGAGGCTGATCCATGGAGCTTCAACACAGCAACCTCCAAACATGTCCACCCTCACACACATCGTCTGTGGACACACTGGACCACAGCACAACATCATAACACACTGACAACAACAACAACAACACATTCACTAATGATTCAGACAAATTAAAGTTTTTTTATTGTTTGTTTTACAATTAAAAACAGTTTGTTGTCCACTGTTGTCATCACTCTTTGTTCAAATCCAGGTCTCTCTTGTAAATGAGTCCTTGTGGCTCAGTGGAACTAACCTGTATCAATAAAGGTTGAATGAATATAAATATACACATAATGATTTATTCAACCTTTTATTTATACAGGTTGGCTTCATGGAGCCACAAGGACTCGTTTACAAGAGACCTGCTCCAGACACAACAGGAAACAATGACAACGATAAACTACAGGAAAAATAATACAGATGATATATGTGTATAT